CCGCCCGTCCTACCTTCTTCCGCTCCCTTTTATCTCGCCTATCACTTAGCCTCTTCGCGTCCCTTCCGCGACGAAAATCCTCTCTCTACCCATGCGGACGGGTTCGGCCCGATACGACCGAGCCCTGCACGCCATTCAAGTACCTGAAGTCGTTGCTTCACCTCCGTCGAAGCGATCGCACTGTGGTCGTGTTTATCCTTCTTCCTCAGTGCTTCGAGTCTCTCTTTTTCTCTCCTCTGCTCTTCCAGCTGTTTTTGCTGCTCCCAGAGCTACGACAAAAAGAGAAAGAAAGAAAAAAAAAAACGAAGAAAAAACACGAGCGAAAAGACGCCTCGTTTCGATCGATAATACGACGGACGGGTAGTACGCGTTACACGACCACGGTGTGCTGGACATTGACGGTAACGGCCGATATCGTCCATTCAAGAAAAAGAGATAGAGATACAGATAGATAGAGAGAGAGGGGGAGGGGGCGAGAGGGGAGAGTGCGAGCAACGTCCAACGATAATTTTACCGCAAGAAGGGTGAAAGTGGAAGCGAGAAACGACAGGGGGAAGACACAGCGGGCAAATGGCATAGGAGAGGAGAAGAGAGGAGAAGAGAGGAGAAGAGAGGAGAAGAGAGGAGAGGAGAGGAAAGGGGAGCAGAGAACACGACGAAAGTCGAATCTCCAAGGACTCGACGATCTTTCATCCGTCGCGATTTACGACTTCTCTCGTCCCATCGAGGTACGACGCGCGGAATTTCATCGCTCGCCGCCAGTCTAGGCTCCCTCTCTCTCTTTCTCTCGTTTTCGAGTACGTCGCGATAGAGACGCGTCGCGCATCGATCGAGTTTACGGGGAATAGGAAGGTTCCGCTGGACTTTCGACTCGGAGACGGTTCGAAGACAATGGATCTTGGACGACGGTGGTTCGATACTCGGGAGGGTGATGGCGTGGTTCGTCACCCTCCAGAGAGAAAGAACCGCACGGAACGGTGACCGAGAAACGAAATTGACGAGGAGGTGACACGCGCTATCGAACGAACGAACGAACGAACGAACGAACGAACGAACGAACGTTACGCGACGCGCCGCGACGAACGCGACTTACCTTTAGCTGGTGCATCTGTTGCTCGTGTAACTCGGCCAACTGTCGCTCCTGGGCTTGGTACTGTTGCCGCAGTATTTGTTGCTGAAGTTGATGATGCTGCTGTAGCTGAAAGCACAACCGACGCGTCCAGAGTAACGCTCGAAACGATTTCGAGATTCGTCTTGGTGGCGCGACGCACAGATTCGAGATTCGAATCGAGAACACCGTGTGTACGCGCATAGATGCGCGCGCCGC